ACTGGGGGGGGTGGCGGAGGTGGGGGCCCCCCAGATGAAGCAGGGATCACAGCAGCACCACTGGGGTGGCCAGGTGGAAGTGTTGGGCCTGAAATGCAGAGAATAGGAATTAGATGTGAAGCACAATCTCCCCCAGCCCGCAGACAAGGTCACGTTCCCACTCCCAGCACCATGGCCTGACTCCGGGAAAAGTGGCCAATGCAAGGGAGCACCATGCATGTGAAGAATGGGAAGAGGTGCTTGTATCAATGGTCAGTCAGCCACAGTTGTGTCCTCCTGAAAGACCCTGTCACTGACAGTCTTCTCCCTCCTCTTCTCCTTGGCTGGGCTAGTGTTTCATTCCGTGTCAGAATCAGAACACAGACAACGCTTCCCAATTCATAAGTGGCATATTCTGCTGCTTCTCCCACAGCTTTCTATATGGAGATAATAAACTCCATGGACTTTGGTTGACATCAGCTTGTCAGGCAAACTGTGGGCCACGGTGACACATCCTCCTTTCTGTCATGTAGAAGGTGTGTGGCCTCAGCCAATTCTGCAGAATAACCAGGGGACACTCCAGCTCCTGCAAAGCTCCTCTGAGCAGCAGCCTGTTGGAAAGGGCTGATGGTGATAACTCCATTGCAGTGTTTTACCTGTCTGTAACAGGTCAGTTGAACAAACACACCTCCCCAGGGGTATTTCCCCATGTACACTCTATCAGAACCAGCTGCTCTTGGTATTTATTCACAGCTTCAGTTGTTCAGTAAGCATTACTTTGAAAGACAGGTGGGTTTTGATTGAGAAATATTTGGAAACCATATTTAACATTAACAGTTTGCTTTTCTTCTTTAGGTTTTCTTATAATACTGCCTTATTTCTGCGGTTACTTCTGCCATTGTTTCACACTCCCAATTCCAGTCTTGAAATGAACCATAGCTGCTATTAGAAATACTTTAAACATTTCAAGCCCTCTTTGGTTCATGAACATAATAGCTAGTAATTCATTGTGGGTACATTTAATTGTAATTGCAAAACTACACCCACCTAATTAGAGGGCAGCCTCAGGCAAAAATTGAACTGAGTCAAAATAATGGAGTGATGTGAGTTTAAAATAACTTTATTGAACTAAGTGGATTTTACGGACTTACATCAGCTGAAGGACAGAGCCTCCAGTGGTTACAGTAAAACTTTTAGCAGAAAGTAAAATGAAATATTTTCATTTTCTTCCTTTTCTAGGCACACCACTTAAGCATTATATGTGGTTATAATCCTGAATGGATCCAAGTCACAAAACATGCTCTGAATTGCAAACAGGCATTGTAAATTGTTCTCACTCTGCAGGCTTTAGATAGCAATGAGAAATCAAGGCCATATACAAAGTGACCAGACCCAAGCCCTTGAGCTGCCTTCAAAGAGAAAGGTTTGTTGGAATAGTTACAGTGACAAGCCCACAACTACAAATGCAGTGAATACCAGGAAGAGAGTTTCTTGAATTAAATAAATTGCACAACCACAGGGGATTCTGGGTGTCTTAAACAAAATCCATGTTCTATGTTTCACTGGTAACAGAAAGACCAATTAACAAAAATAGTAAAAATCACAACCTCTACCAATATTCCTACACAGACAGGAAACCTACCACAGACCTGGCCTCCAGCTTCAGAAGAGCCCATCCACTACGTTTGGACCAGCTGAAAATAGGTTCTATATGAAGGTCTTTGAAACAATTTGACTCTGCTGAATGACAAAAATCTCGGTCTGGGATAACACAGTAGGAATATGCATTGCAACAACCCAGCTACAGGGTCCTGGGTCTGTAATTCTTACTTTTTGCCTGGTCCCTGGACCAGCCCAGAGTGATTTTGATATTTTTTCCACCCCAGTTTCAGGAATCACATACAGCAGGAGTAGCTTTGGGCCTCTCAGCCCTTTTTCTATGTCAGGGGCAGTGCCAGCCTGTCTTTTTGAGCAGCTGAGCGTTTACACAGGTCGCGACTCATTCAAAATCAGTACTTACTCAAGTGGGCAGTGGCTGATGATGTCAAGTAAGGAGGGGTCCTCCTGGGCAAAGCCACCTCAGACACAGCAGCGTGAGGGGGAGGCAATGGAAGACAGTGTGACATGGGCTGACACCACTGCTGCGCAGGACAAGATGACAATTGGGAGGATGGGGAGGGAGCCTGGCCAGAGGAGCTGGGGGGGCTGGCGATGGTGGGCAGCGGGGAGCAGGCTGCAGCTCCTAGGTGTGGAAAGAAGGACCCATCCACGCTTTTCACATGGGTTCCAGGGGGGCCTAAAGCAATTTGTTCTTCAGGATGGTCATTCAGGGGTACATTTGCTGAGGTCTCCCACCCTGCTTTATCTGTGGGTGCCTTGACCCTGTCAGGTGGGACAGGAATCACAGGCAGGATGGTGGGACCACGTGGCTGCAGGATGTCACCCCTCTGCAGAGATGGTGCATTTGTAGCAGAGGGAGAAGAAGACTGAGGAGAACAGGAAAGAGAAGAGCCCCTGAGAGGCTGGTGAGAGGGAAAGGGAAAATGGGAAGGATGGAGGGGCGGTGGAGACAGCGAGGTTTGCCTGATGCCTGGCATGACAGTCCTGCCATTTGGGCAGGGTGGAGGGGAGGAACCTGGGGCTGTTGGCAGCTCAGAGGCCGAGTGCCTGTGCAGGAATTGCGAGGGCTCCCTGGCTCTCCGCTGGCATAGGAAAGGGGACTGACCGGCGGGCTCAGGGACAACGGGTGCTGAAGAGACAGCGCTGGCTTGAGGTAGTGGGGGGAGCACAACACCAGAGGCAGGAACATCGCAGTTACTAGAGGCAGGAGGAGGAGACTGGGGATGAGAGGGAGGAGAGCATATGCCTGTTTGAAGGGTGGAAACTAAAAGAACAGAAAAGACAAATGTAAAGAATAAGGTGGGTACGCAGGAAGGAACGAAAGCAAGGCAAAGTGGAACAGAGGAAAAGGAACCGTGAAGTAAACGCAAACAGAAACTCAAACAAAGCAAAGAGGAGATGGTGCAGGCACCAGCTTGGGGATTTCCAGCCCTCAGCAGCACTGGAGGGGTGTGCAGAGCAGAACCCTGGCAGCATGGGCTGGGCTGCATGCTCTGGTGCCAGCGAGGCTCCTCCAAACCCCACGTGAATCTGAGTCAGGATCACGAGCATCACCTTCGCACTAGGGACAGGTGCAAGGGATGTGCTGAACACAAAGGTGGCCACCTTGTAGGCAGAGAAGAAGCAGCCAGCAGTCCCTAGGAGCCATGTCCCATTCCTTGTGGATGCCAAGGCAGGGTTTTGGCTAAGTTCCCTATACAGAGCAGCACACTGACCTCTGCAGAAACAAGAGTCCAACTCTTTCTCTCACCAAAGGCATATGTGCGTGTCTAAGCTTGTTTCTAGTAAAAAAGTTTAACAGCTGAGGAAAAACATTTCACTTACGTGGCCAGATTGACTGAAAAAACTTGCCCAAAACCAAAGCCCAAACACAAAATGGCTTGCTTGCTTGCTCTGGCTCCTTTCAGAGACAAAGCCATACCTTGTAGATACAAACTATTCCTGTCAACTCTTCTCTCAGTATAGTGCAACTTAGTATGCTGTAGAAGATTTTTGTAAGCTCATTAAATATCTATATTTTTTCCATTAAGTTCACAGAAGACTTCATGATCACAAAATCGCAGTGAAGAGCATCTAGAGCTGTATCTTCCTCTGAGCTACCTGTTCTCCTCAGGGGTGTGGAAGAAGCATGGCCAGGCCCCCTTAGTACACCTAAAATGCCCCTCAGCTGTACAAGTTTTGCCACGTGCAAAACCTGCCTAGCTCCACCTGCATGCCTCAGACCTGAGCCCCTGCAAAACAACACAGCCATGACCAAATGCATGTAAGCCCCTAGCTGAAAATCTAATATTTAAAATGTAATTGTAACTATAAACACTTTTAGCAGTCTAGCTTTTGTACAGCACCCCACAAACACCAACAAAGAGCAAGAGGAGACAGTCAGGGAGAGACTGTATCTGCTGGATTTGATACATGCCTGTGGTAGAGGTTCTTCTTTCCAGAGATTCCTGGCGTTGTTGCTGTTGCTCCATCACTTGTCTAAAAGAGCAATGGAAAAACCCTTGGTCATTAGGTATTCCTTATAATTTTGAGTAAAACCCTGAGAAGCACTGTGTGTCTGGGGAGAGAGCTGGTCCTGTGAGATGGAGGTGGGTCTGATTTCACCTGCCTTGGCCACAGCAGTGCCAGTTCACACACTGGACACAGCCCTGCACGCTCCGGACACTGCAGGGGTCAGTTGATCCATTTCAGATAACTCCTCAGGGGCTCTGCAAAGGAACAGGCAGTGCCCAATGCCCAGGAGAGCACAGCAAACATGCATGCTGTTAACCTGGAGCATAAGAGCATTGCAAGGAAAGAGGAAGTGGCGTCTCACGTAACTCCACAGAATCACGCATTGGGTAAGGCAGGAAGGGAGCACTGGAGGCCAGTGCTCCAGTCGAACATCCCTGCTCAAGCTGGAGGACACAATCCCCAGGATTCTGTCCAGAGAGTTTTTGAATATCTCCAGGGAAGGAAATACTCAAAATGACACAATCTAGAATATTTTATGGATCAGGAGCCCAAAGCACTTGTAGAATATTAGCATATTAGAATGAAAATACAGCAAAGCTTCATCTGCATTTCAGTGCTGACTATACAAAGCCTCTGTTGCTCAGGTGCACATCCAAGCCCCTTCTGGCCCTGGCCAGTGCAGCTGACAGCCCCAGCACAGCTGTCCCTGCGGGACCAGCACCCCCAGCAGTGCTGTGCTGATCCGAGCTGTGCACTGCTGCTCCTCCAGCACCTTTCCCCCAGGAGCTGCCAGCTCCTGTGCTGCCCTGCTGTCCGGCAGGGAGAGGCTTGGGACAGCTCTGCAGGGATGTGCAGTTCCAAGGGCCCATCAGCAGAGTCTGCTCTTGCATGCTGGACTGCTCCTGCAGGAAGGGATGTCCCTGACCCCTGCCACAAACCCACCCTCGCTTGGCTCCTGCTAAGAAAACCCGATAGCTAAAAGCCAGACTGCTTGCCAGGCTCCTTGGCAGGCACACGGATATGGACTAAAGATTTCAACAATATTAAAACACAGCTCTGAATTTACCCTGCTGAAGCACTTGGTAATAAAGTTTATTACTGTTTTCTTCCACAGCATCTAGGTCAAATTTGCCCTAATTAGTTTCATTTATCCTTAGACCAGCCTTCATTGTGCACTTTTTTCTCAATAGCTTTACTTCATGGTCTGACAATAAAGCAAGCTCAACTTTAATCAACACTTCTATTTTGACTCCTTGCACAGTATTTTAAGACACCTCCCTGTTACATTTTTACTTGTACTTACCAGAGTCTGCAATGCTGAGAAATTCTATCTTATTTTTATACCAACAGAAGCTTTTAAAATAAAAACTAGTCCATAAAAATAAAATTATATTATGTGGAAAAGAAAACATATCCAAAATAAATTTTCCATGTTTCATATCTAGTTCAATATATGGGAAAGGAAAATACATGATTTTGCTGTGGCGGGATCAATTCTAAAGTGGTTTTGTGTTCAGGACATGCAATCCATGCAATTTCTAGAAAATTGCAGGTTTCTGAGAAAATTATCATATGAGCAAAGGTGAATAACTTTTGAGAAAGTCTTGGTTGATTCAACTGGTTTCATTTAAGCTGTAACACTTTAAACCAAATAAATAGAAATCTTTACTTCAATAGGTACCCTAGCTCTTTCTTGATTGTTATGGATGCAACATCAATTGCACTACTAAAATTTCAATTGTTAACTCACGTACTAAGAATTTCCTGAGCATGCCATCCCCTACCTTAGCTTGGCATTCATTAGCAAGATTTGATGATGCAGAACAACTTGATACATACATTTTCCTGATTAAACCTGGGGGAAATTCTAGGTTGATCTAGAGAATCAACCTGGAAAATTCCAGTCTGACATGACAGTAAAGAAATATGTAAAAAAACACCCCCAAATCATTAATGCTGCTGCAGAACAGAATGAAGGGCACGGTGCAAAAATCCAAAACAGGGGCTAACCACTGCCACTTGAAGTCACTGGGGTTCATACCAGCCCTTTCTGCCCTTGGTCAGAAATAGTTTATATGTGCCAAATGCACCCTCCCACACATGCTAAAAGGAGAAGTTCTTAAACTCTTAGGAAGTCAAATTTATTCCAGTCGAACTAAATAAAGCCTGGGATTGGCACAAGGCTACTTAAGGGAGTATGCAAGGAGGAAAGTACAAGAGGGGACAAATTACACTCTGGCTTAAAAAGATATTCTTTAAACGTTTGTGTAAAGATTTCTAAAAAGCCTTTTAAACAAACAAATTTGCAGGGTAGATACCATAAGCTAATTTCCTTTTTGCTTATAAGATGTTATAAAAAAAACCCCTAGGCTTAAAATTAGGTCTGCTCAATGCTTAAGGAATGCATCAGTATAATTAAAGCTGAAAGTCCTCTAGTGCAGATGCAGCAATATCTAACTGCATCTATTGGCATATCTTATTCCACTCCAGTGGAGCAAAAGAAGCTTTCCTAGGGCCATGTGCCCTGTAGCAGTCAAATATTACCTACCCAAAGGGCTTTTACTGTCTCTAAACAAAAATGGATAAATAAAATATTTTTATTCTAACATAGTTAAGCTGCTCACATTTTAAATGTACATAATAGACACCCAAACTGGAGGCCTGACCTACATATGGTCTGCAGAATCAGTGACTGCCAGAGGTTAAAGGAAGAGCTGGATCAGGTTTTTCAGGAAGGCAATGGGAGAGGCAACATTGCCTCCCTTGGCAAGAGCAGGGGCTCTCTGGCCTTTATGATAACTCTGCTATCCCAAAGTAAATCTCAGGTGAAATATCATCACTGCTGACCCATAAGACAGTCAAGGGTAAATCCACACTAAATCTCAGGTCTTTCACAGTTATTCGTAAAGGTTCAGGAAATTAATTTCCCTACACTTTCCATATAGTTTTTGGAGGCAGGAAGACTCCTGAGTACCTACCAAGCAGAGTTTACCTAGAGTGTGAACTTTGGCTCACTTCACCCTTTAATAGTCATTACAGAATCATTAGCAATAATTAGAAAACATTCAGAACCAGCTTAAAATATGTATGAGTAAAAAGAGCAGTGCTTACTGGTGAACAAGGACTGCATGTTCATCCAAGTTACAAACTAGAACTCTGCCACAGCTGATTAACTCACCTTCTCTGTGCTTCCATCTCATCTGGAGATGGACCATTCTGGATCTGGCGCTGGGCAGCTGGACCTACAGAAAAAAAGAGAGGAAAAGAAAACAAATGTGTCTGACTTCAAAAAAACAGTGCCACTCAGATCGCTTCTCCACCTTACTATGACAGATAAACCTCAAGCATTATTGTCTTCTCTGCTTTATTATTATTTTTAGCTCTTTTTTCCCTATTAGACAAATCCTTGCCTCCTGTACATTTTTAGTCCCACTGGGAGAATCCAGGGGCTAAATGTGGGAACAGATTTGTCCAGAAACTTGGCACCACAGTTGCTGTAGATTACATACTAATCCTTTGGTGAAGACTTTCAGTGTTGCAAAAGTTTTCCTGTAGGACAGCCCATTGCACTGGGATGCGTTTTTAGCTTTGGCATGGTTCAGCTCCATCCTTCTAGCATTCTGTGCTTGCACAGAAATTCAACTGCCTTGCTGAGCCTGGGAGCACACATGGTGCTAACTTGTGCTGCTCTGATGCTGAGCTGGCATCAAAAGCTGCCTGATCAAAGGTGCAAAGAGATACAAAATTAAACTAGACTTTCACAAAGGTGTCTTTTCTTTTTACAATTCTGTGGTCTTCTGCTTCTGGGGGGATCCACATCAAACTGAGCTTCCACTAGCATCCACCAACAAAAGCTGACTATGCATGTGACCCTTACCTCCTCTCTTGATTGATCATTTAATCTCTGCTCTCAGACATTTAATCAAGGACACTGACACTACATGCCATATTCAGAAAGAAACAGTTATTCTGAAAATAAAAATAACTATTGGTAACATAAGTGGTCTTGCCTTTATTACAAGAATTGTTCCATTCATTTGAGGAGGCAGGGTTCAACTGGGACTAAACAGATAAGACTGCTATTAAATCCAACAGCAGTTTTCCTGATAAATTGGGAAGAAGATCAGTTATGCGCAGGAAATTATTACATCTGCCTTATTTTTTCATTTTTAATTTAAAACTTCACCCTTTAAAAAATTATCCAACGAGAGCAAATCAGAATTAAACACTTACAACCTAAATATGTCACTCTCAAATTGTTAAGCATATTTATCTCTATATTCTTTATGTATTACTGCCAGACTGAATGTTATCTGAAAACCAATTAAGAAAGTATGAAAACAGGAAAGATGGCAGAAATGCATCGTAGTCAGAAATTCCAGAGCACTGACTGATCCCGAGGAAATCGTGTATATTTCTGAGATGTGTTTAAGGACTAACATTTGAAGTAAGGCTACAAAGAACTTTCTGAGAACCAGGCCTGTATATTCTAATTTTGGGTCTCCCAAAAATGAAGCCAGTGACAACCACTAAGCCAAAAGCTCTGACATTTAAAAATATCCTATGATTGGTCATGAAGTGAAGACAGTTCACTTCTTTAATGACTCATGACTGACAACTTAGTTGTTTATCATAGGTCTTTGGCAAACTACTTAGACAGAAATGCCACATTTTGTAAAGATCACACGAAACGATGAACGCGGGGGAGCGGCTGATTGTTTTGGGCAGCAAACCTCAGGGAAAAACCTAGCACATACTTGGGAACAACACAGCAGGCGGCTCTGTTAAAGGAGTTCAAGGTGTAGCAAGGATCTTCTCAGAAACTACACGTGAGGAAGCCAGGGACAGCTTTTGGCCCGCTCAGCCACAGCTCAGGGACACGGAAGGCAAGGATTAATTTCATGCTTCATTCTGTACATGTATGCTCTGCTGCGCACGTACAGCAGACAGCTGTGAGGCTGAGGGGGTTTCAATTCAGCTGGATTTCTAGGCTTAATTCCCCTCCACATTTTTGGGTATTTCTCAGACAGAAGCAGACATGAGCAGTGAGTGCTCTTGGTGATGCCATCCTGATTTGAAGATGCTTCTCTAGTTGCCCTGTGAGCTGCCTCTGACCCTGCCAGCCTCTGGGAACAGCCTCAGAGAAGAGAACACACAGAGAACTTCTCAGCACAATGACCAGGAGAAACAGTTCTGCTCCTGAGCCGTTCGCAGCTCCACAGCTGCCGGGAGCCACATTTTCACCAAGTAATTAACGCAGGAGATACTCTGCCAATGTCCGTGTTTCCTCGCTTAGTTGCTTTGCAATAATCAACCACGCTTTTACATACGCATCTTGTGATTCAGCTGAAGGCAGGTTTTGGGAGCACACAGATGTTTTCCATGTTTGTTTTTTCTCCTCCTACTCAAGCAGCGCAGCACCGCTCTGCCCTTCCCCAGCTGTCCCTACAGACACGGGGAGCTCCTGGCACAGGGCGCTGCTTTGTGCCGGCTGTGGAGGTTCCCATGTGCCTGCTGCTGCTGAGATCTCCACGTCTGGAACTGCAGCCAGCCAAAAAACACCAACAAAGCTCTCCCTGAAGGAAAACCCATGCCCCGGCTTCCACTCTCACCAGGAAGGCACAGACAGGAACAATGCCATCCTTTCTCTCCTGCTGGAGAAGCTCCAAGCAATGTTTCTTGCCCCTCCTTTGGCTACAACTGCAAGAAACACTGACTGCATACACTTAGAAAAACACCAAAAGTGTTTATTTCTCTGAGCAACGAGTATTTTGTGCTTCTTCAGTACAGCGGGTCCAATCGAGCACGCTTTCATTCATTACACAGAATGGAAGCAGCCCCTGCTTGGGGTTTCTGCAACTCGTGCAGCCTCCATGGTGCTCCTGGACCAGCGTGGTGAAAGTGGTGGGCTAAGGAAAGGGTCCAGAGTCAGAGCTGAATTAGAAATACATATGGGTTTTAAATTCATTATATTGAAAATTTTTGTTTTGCATATGAGAAAACATGATGATTTCATGAAAAACAAAAATATGAAACCCCAAAACCACAAACAAACACACACAAACCCCCAGCAGATTATGGGAGGAAAAGGTGTCAGAGAGACAGACAGTTCTCCCTCATTGTTTGATGATTCCAGCACACACTTGGATTGTAGGAGACTGCTTCAGCCATCAGGTCTGACCTGTCATTGCTTATATTCTGGCAATGTGACAGAAATTCTTGCTTATCCTGACAAGAACAGAAGAAATCTTTCCAGATTACAAGTTTCTGAAAAGCTTTTCTTTCCAATAGCAGTATCTTTCAAATAAATTGGCATTTTCTGTCATAAAACCCCAACATATCAGCTGTTGAAAGCACTTCTGACTGATGCTAATCCCATCAGGTCCCTGTTCAGGTACAGCCTGGGCCAGTGTGCAAACCCATGCTGGGAACTCAACTGGGCAGGGAATTTGGCTGGGTTCACCATAACCTCTCCTCTTTCTCCCGTGCTCTTGCAGGTGCTCTTTGCTCCTGGTGGCGCTGCTGTCCCCCTGCCAGCAGCTCACCCCACAGTGAGCTGTGACAACCACAGGGCACTGTCCCCACTTCAGCCACAGTGCCCCGTGTCCCCATCCGCCACCACTTCCCCATTCACAGCCTGCTCAGAATTTTGGCTCTCTTGCCACTGTTGGGCAATCACACTGCTGCTGCTGCTGCAGCTCTGTCAGCACTTTCACAGCTGCCCCGAGGACCTCAGCCTGCAGTGCTGGGGATGTCCTGGCACTGCCACACACCACCATAAAGCACCTGCAGGAGAGGGGGCCAGAATGGGGACAGCAGTGCTGGTGACGAGCTGTGACAGTGACACTCCCTTAAACTCATTACTAGAGACAATTATCCTGGACAAAGCACTGATCTAATTAGCCTAGATAAAGCCCGTAGATAAAGCAGGGTGCCTACGCTATTTCTCAGGCCCAAGGAGTACAACCAGCGTTGGATGACACGGCAGCTCAGGTACACCTAACTTTCCATGGCGAGCTGAAGGACTGAGCAGAGGGATCACTGCTCCAGGGACTGAGCAGAGGGATCACTGTTCCAGGGACTGAGCAGAGGGATCACTGTTTGAAGGACTGAGCAGAGGGATCACTGCTCCAGGGACTGAGCAGAGGGATCACTGTTTGAAGGACTGAGCAGAGGGATCACTGTTTGAAGGACTGAGCAGAGGGATCACTGTTTGAAGGACTGAGCAGAGGGATCACTGTTTGAAGGACTGAGCAGAGGGATCACTGCTCTCCCTCGCTGCAGCTGGGCAGAGCCACGTGCTGCCACACTGCCAGGTCTCTCCTGTCACAGGCCTTGGCACTCCACTTGTCCTGCTCCTGCCTTGGTTGTTTTGATGTACAGCCTGGTAGAGAGAGGAAGCACACCCCACCAAGGGAGAATGGTGTCACAAAGCCTGCTTTCAGGCAGTTCACCTCACTCCTATTAAACATTAACATGAAATAGAAAGAGCTTCAGAGTGTTATTCACAGGCTGGGTGCCTCAGCAGCATTTTAACAGAGTACATTAAACACCTTCTATAACATCATTTACACATGTTCCAAACTTCTCCTCTGAGAACTGTGAAGGACTTTATCAGCCTTAATTAAGCCTCACCAATGCTATGAGGCAGAAGTGACTTGATTACACCCAGGCCGTGTCTGCACAAATAAAATTTGGTTGCATCAATTTACCTACAGGTGAGTTTTGCTACTGACACAGTCAAAACTATGTAAGAGGTCACCTGAGGCATTCTTATTCTGGTGCAGACCAAATTTGGTTTGGCCTGAGGCTAGAAGAGTACAGGTAAAGGAGCATTTCCAACTGTGTGCCAGAAAAGCTTTTCTACCTCCCTTCCTTGTTCCTTGGTGACCAACACTGCTGTAAGTTTGTGGCAGAGCATAGCAAAACACATCCTCTTAAAACCATGCCCAGCAATGCTTTACATAACCTCAGTTTACCTTACACCACACTGGACAAGGATCTTAGAAGCTATTAAAAGCACCATTCCCAAGATGGCAACTACTTTGCTTTTATCTTTTACCCTTTACCTCTAGATTACTTTAATCTAACATGAAACAGGCCCTGCTTGAAGTGAAATAAGGGTGTGAACACAGGGGGTCTGTATGAAGTCTGTTCATTTGAACTAAAAACTGATTTAAAATTCACTGCTGAAACTTTCCGATGCAGATAAGATTTAAGGACAGTGACAGAGCTGGAAAAACAAGCCTTGTATTTAACATGGGAGTGCCCTACCCTTGCATTAGTTCAGACCTCCTGCAACCATGTACAGATGCATATGCTGTGCACAGTCTTTTCCTACCTGTTTTTATTTTAGGAAAAATCAACAGATGGAATTGCAGGGGTCCCTACATGCAGAACCACACAACTGTGTGTGTGCACTGAGCAGGATGGAAGACATGAGATCCAGAGTGGGAGTTACCAAACAAAAAGGCTATGCAAAGATCCTGTGCAAAGGCTGGAAGATGATTAGAAAGGAGCTATCTTCAATTCACTAGAAATGCTGCTGAGCACACCAACATGAAACCAGTGCCTTTGACTCAAATGCTGAAGCTGCTAATTCCACTAT